AGCTCATTAAATCCTCACAGCTCTAGCATAAAGGTACTATGACCCGCACTTTCCCCGAAGTGAACTGAAGCACAGAGAGCACTTGCCTAAGCTTCTGAACCACGTGAGCTGCAGCCCTGGGATTTGAACCCAGGCCGGTTGGCCTCCAGAACCTGTGTTCCTAACCACAGCACTATACTGTTTTATACTTATATCGTTTTATATACACACACACCCACACACACACACACCTATATACAGGGACTGGCATGGCATGAAATATATATATCCCATATAAAGATGAAAATATGGAATGATATAAATACTATGTGCCAAAATTTATATAGCTTTGTATTTTTACATACTTAAGTAGCTACAATAAAAACCATTTAATCCAATATTTGGCTTGTAAGAATTTCTTTTTTTATTGAGGTATAATTGACATGTAACATTATATTGGTTTTATTTATTTTTTTAAAAGATTTATTTATTTATTTATTTATTTATTTATTTATTTATTTATTTGACAGAGAGAGACACAGCGAGAGAGGCAACACAAGCAGGGGGAGTGGGAGAGGGAGAAGCAGGCTTCCCGCAGAGCAGGGAGCCTGATGCGGGACTCGATCCCAGGACCCTGGGATCATGACCTGAGCCAAAGGCAGACGCTTAACGACTGAGCCACCCAGGCGCCCCCATTATATTGGTTTTAGATGTACAACATAATGATTCTATATTTGTATATACTGTGAAATAATCACCACAATAGGCCTAGTTAACATAGAATTTCTTTCCTGATTGAACAGACATGCAAACTACCCAGTCTGTAGTCTATTCAAGTGAAAGAAATGCAGGTTTAGTGGTTTCTGCTCAGGACAACTGGTACCCAGGCTAAATCCCAGGGGTGACGTGCAGGAGGAAAGGGTCTGAACGCCCAGCTCAGTTCTGCAAGCCCTCCTGTTCCTCACATCTCCCTCTCCTCATTCCCCAGTGCCCCCTCTTCACCAGGGAAGTTCTGCTGTGTATAGACCCCTGAGCTCATCTCTACTCACCCAGCTCCTGAACATTCCCAGCACCAAGGTTACCGTGAAAGGTTCTGCTGTTAGGTTAGATCTGGTATGAACAGAAGCCTGAGTCACAGCAGACTCAGTGGTCTTTGAACCCGATGTATTGTTCGGCCCTCCCCTCCCACACCTGCCCACGCCCCCATCTGCAGGGCAGGTGAGTTCCAACCCCCACCTCCGATAGCTGGCACCTGACTGTGGGGTCTATCAGGATCAGCTTTCTCACCCACTTCCCTGCCCAGTCTCATGGTTCTTCAGTCCAGATGCTTCTCCTTGGGCTCAGTTGAAGCCTCGATAGCTTATTTGACTGCACTGCTAAAGTCTGCAGCTCTCCAGGCCAGAATTACAAAAGTGAATTACACTATTAAAACTGCATTTCAAGGGAGCCAGGAAAATGCAAACAATAAATGCTTCTCTTCTGCTGGAGGGCCCACGAATTACCACCCTCCCTCTTTGCAATCATGGAAGATATGAAGCATAATTACAAGTTAATGAAACATTTTTGCATGTGATGTGGGAATTATGAAATTAAAGGGCTGAGAGCATACAGTTACAAGTCACATCACTTGTTTACTAATGCAAGCACTTTTGCTAGCAGCGATGATTTCAACCTTAATGATTAAACCTCGGTGATCTTAGTGCTCTGGAGTAGAGTCCTGTCCACTGTCCAGTCCCAGCTTCTTGAGTGATCAAATGTGGCCACAGTAGCAGCCAAATACCTTCCTGGTCCCTGGGTCACAGTTGAGGCATTGTGTTCTTTTTTAAAGATTTTATTTATTCATTTATTCATTTATTTATTGCAAGCGGAGGGGAGGAGCAGAGGGAGAGGCAGAGAGAGAATCTCCAGGAGACTCCACAGTGAGTATGGAGCCTACGCCAGGCTCGATCGCATAACCCTCAGATCATGACCTGAGCGGAAATCAAGAGTTGGACATTTAACCAACTGAGCCACCCAGGCACCCCTAAGGCATTGTGTTCTTGAAGTCAGCTGTCCCTGTGATGGTCTGCTAGTGAGTGGTCTGCCTTCCCGCTGTTGGCAAAAGATGCAACTCCCCGGGCAGACCAGTTTGGAAGTGTGTTCCAGAAACTGTTCAGGCAGCCTGAAGCCTGTTTCTCTAGCCTTTCGTTGTTATGTTCCTAATTCCAGGCATCAAATTCCTTTTCTGCTTTAAACACTCAGAGTGGTTCTTGTTTCCTGACAAGAGCTCGGCCTGATACTTGCACTGATTCATGTAATGCCCACAACAACCCTATGTGGGAAGCACTATTATCCCCTATTTACAATCTGAGGAAACCGAGACATAAGGAGGTTAATTAACTTGCCGGAGGTCCTATTAGGGAGTGGCAGAGCCGGGTTTCTAACTCCAACAATCTAGCCCACAGCCCATACTCCAAAGCCTATGTTGCCTCCTCAGTAGGCTACATTAAGGGCCAGGAAGTAATGGTGCCTCACGGGACTTGAATTATTTTTGTGACTTGATGTTATTCCATTGGTGACTCGAATTCCCAGAAGAGTCTAATTGGCCCAGTTTGGGCCTCAGGTCTCCCCTCAACCCCTCATTGACAGTTCCATCACTTGTGCACTGAAATATGGTCATTCCACCAAGAGAGAGTCTGTTTCCCAAGGACAGGAAAAGGGATGCTGGTCAGACCAAAACAACAGACGTCCAAAACTGATCTGCATCTGGCCGTTGCTCAAAAGTACCATGGAACAAAATAGACCAAAAAAATGCCCAGATGTTAGGTGGAAACTTGGCCATTGCCCAGTGTGAATAGTCCCGTATGGATCTTGAGGACGACTCATGAAATGTGAAGACTTTTGTAAATCACGTAGGCATTGCCTCAAGGCTGCCATGGAGCAAAGTCAGATATTCTGGAAGGAAAGATGAAGAGAGATGACTCTGAGGGGTGTGATGACCGGGGGCTGCCGTCAGCCCACCTCACATGCATACGCACCCCACAGAGGACTTCTGGGGGGCTCTGGTTGAAGCTCCGCAGAGCTTGCAGTGGCCCTTCACACACTATTACGGTAACTAACTAGACAATGTCTTCGCGCTACAACTGGACAGGTCTTCGCGTGCCCTGAAACATCCTGGTTGCCAAACGAGAAACCTGATGCCCAGCTTCCCAACTCGGAACGAATTTCTGAGCACTTGGTGGGTTCCTCCATTACCTGGAGATTTGTCATTTGATTTCAGAGGTATGTGTCACGGTGCACCTGAGTGGTTCCAACACCTCTGCTTTAATATTTTTGAGTTTTTGTTAAAAGATTTTTCCCCCAGAACTTTAAAAATAAAAAGCCCCTCTTTCTTCCTTTCTCTCTTCCCCTGCCTCCTTCCCTCCCTCCTCTCTGTCTCTTATATATATATAATTCCTAACTGCTTCTTGTATGATCCCTTGCTCCTAAGACCAAAAGGAAAACTCAGATTTTTAAACCCCAAGACAGGCACTCTTTGCTGCCTTTCGTAAGATTTCCCCTTGCCCATCACGGCCTGGGATTTCTCCACTGATAGCTTTCCATTGTTCTTCCCTGCTTTCTGCCAAATGTTGATTATGGGGCTGCGAGTTGGTTACAAAAACATATCCCCGATTATCACATTTTCCCAAAGCTCTGCCCTTTTCCCAGCCCAAACTTTATATTTTTGCTTTTCCCTTCAAGGTAAGTAATCTCCCAGCTACAAATTCCTAAGCCTCAGTGGTGGAGACTTCCCTCCCCCTCTGGTCATTTCCTAAACTGACCAGAGTAAGAGGGTCTCGGGCATCATTTTCTGAAGACCGCTTTTCCCACTGATCCAGACCAAAGGACACAGCGGAGAAAGGGGAAGAGGATTTGCTCTAGTTGAGGCCAGCCCCCTGCAGCAGTCAGCCCAGCAGCTCCTTGTCCCCAGCCCAAAGGATGCTAACGCTCTCTCTTACCTGTGTGGACAAAGTCTTCGTACCCACGGAAAGAAGCAGAACTATATTAATCCCTGGGCATTCTTTCTTCTTTTAGAATAAGAAGAAAGAATTTCAGAAAGGTTGGGTCTTGCCTGATATGCCTGATATCCAATGAGCAGAAATCAGTGCTGTTTACCGTACTAGCTGAGAGAGATAATGTGTAGGGGAATGAAAGGAAGCAAACATTGTCCCTGACGATGGTGAACAATCAGGTCACCAAGAGTCAAGAGCTTCCCAGAGTCAAAGCTCTTTGAACGTCCCAGGAGAATTTTCTAAAGCTTTGCCTAAGTTGCTAAACAATCATCTCCCCGTAGCAAATAATTTACATCAACCAAGAGGACCGTGGGGACCTGCATCAAGACATGGCGAGACAGCTGACTTGCAAATGACGAATGAGCAGCACAAACAGTCACACTGATCGAAGCTGTAAGGATGGGGGCAGCCCCTTGTTAGGTAGCTCCAAAGCCGAGCGCACCCTTCCTGGGATTTCCTACTCAGAGCTGCCCCCAGCTTTGCTATGGCAGAAGCGCGATGATTTTGCTTGAAAGTGCCAGAAAGAAGTCTTCCCTGAATTGAGATGCTCTCTTGAATTTCTTAACTACGCGTGACCTTGAGCCTGGGCACTTCCCTTCTCCAGATCAGACATTAAAAGGAAACGAGAAAATGTATTTCCTCCTTTCATATCAGGATCCCCCAAACAATTTTTTCTACCACCTCTTTTTTATTTGTTAATGAAATACACTGATGTAATGCTAACGTTAAGAAGATATTTGGAGGGGCGCCTGGGTGGCTCAGTCGGTTAAGCGTCTACCTTGGCCTCAGGTCATGAGCCCAGGGGCCTGGGATCGAGAGCTCCACATTGGGTCCCTGCTCAGCGGCGAGTCTGTCCTCCCTCTGCCCCTCCCACCCCGTGCACGCGCGCACTCGTGCACTCTCTCTCAAATAAATAAATAAAATCTTAAAAAAAAAAAAAAAGAATAGAGTTTTAAACTCTATTTGTAGAATATTTACTATAAAAGCTCTTCATGATTCCCCCAGAGGTAAGCGTGAGGCCATCTCAGCTGGATTAAGTTCCCACTGCAGAGGAGTATAGGGGCGTCCGGAAAATTCCAGAAGATGGAGCTTTATCATAAAACTGGGACTAGGATGAGAGGAGTAAGGTATCTATCTCAAGTGCAAAAACAAAACAACAAAAACCTCTGTATGACAAATGTGGCCCATAATTAGTTATGTTTAATATTGCTTGTCTTTCATCTTTTAGCATTTAAACCTTTAACATGGACAAATTTTTTTCTTTTAACCATTACTTTTATGTTATTCTTTTTTTCACTGAAAAAGGAATAAATGTATGTGGTTTTTAAAAAAAATCCAAAATAGAGCAGAGTTATCTCAAATCCCCAGACATCTATCCTTCATCAAGAAGTAAACATTAATAATAGTTTCTTCTGTGTCCTTGCAGAATTTTTCTTTGTATATACATGCATATTTACATGTGCATATCCCTTTGTATTGTTTACACAAATGAGGACACACACTATATTGCATTTGCTAGTTTTACTTGACCTTGGATCTCAGATTGATGTATCTTGGCATATATAATCTACTTCATTATTTTTTAAAAAGGTGAATAGCTTCCCACTATATAAAAGTGCTATAATTTATTTAACCATTTCCCTGTTGAGAAACACTTTCAAAGTTTCTAGATTTTTGTTTTTGTTTTCTATTACAAATAATGTTGTAACCATAATAATTTTTGATAGATTCGGGGCAACCAGAAATCTTTGATTTCCTGAGCAATCTTAATTTAACATAATAAATTATTTTCATATAAAATAAAATAATTTATATAGATTCCAGAAAGTTATTTGATAAAATTTAACATCTTATTTTGGAGGGTTTTTTTTTTTTTTTTAAAGATTTTATTTATTTATTTGACAGAGAGACACAGTGAGAGAGGGAACACAAGCAGGGGGAGTGGGAGAGAGAGAAGCAGGCTTCCCGCCGAGCAGGGAGCCCGATGCGGGGCTCGATCCCAGGACTCTGGGATCATGACCTGACCCGAAGGCAGACGCTTAACGACTGAGCCACCCAGGTGCCCCTTGGAGGTTTTTTTTTAATTCTCAGAAAAGAAAAAAAAATATTTTTGTATTTATTAAGGAGGTAATAGAGTCAGGAAAAAGACAAAGATGCCCACTTTCCGCACTGTTCTTTAGCATTACTCTCGAATTACAAGTCAATGCAAAAGGAAAATAGAATTAAAATTGGAAATAAGGAGGTAAAATTTTCCTTATCTGCAATGATGTATTTTATAACTGGAAGAACACACAGAAAATCAACAGAAAAACTATTAGAAGCAATAAGAACATTCAGGAAGATGACTCTCATACACTCTTGGTGTCTGATAAACTGGCTCAACCCCTGGGGTGGGGGGGAGGCACTGGGGGTGGGATTTGGACCATCTATCAAAACTAAGTGTGTGCATAGTCAATGAGCCTGTTAATTTCACTTCCTGAAATGCACCCTTCAAATACATTTATCCCCATGGACTGAGAGACTCATGGCACAGGTGTGTATAGGGACATGGACATTTCATTAGAGCATTTTTTACAATAGCAAAAAGGTCAGAAACAACTTGCTTTTCAAGAAGCTGCCTACACGTGTAGGAGGTGGTATATGATATAAGCATAAAATATTTTCAAAGAATAGCCAACAAATCGGTCTCACTGAATATCTCTAAGGAACAAAACCTAGAAAGGATAAGAAGGAGCTTTATTTTTCATCACATGCCCTTTGTACCGTTGGAATTTGCCCTGTGCCCCCCAAATGCACACCTTTAAATGATGTACTTTTTGTACTTTTTGTAAGGCTTTTCTAGTAGATACATTTATTTTCCTGAAATCCTTGATCGAACCCAGAGGTGGATTCCCAGTTCAAATAGATGGACGGCCTTGGTTCAGTTAAGAAAACCTACTCATTGACATGAGGGGGAGGGAAACACTTTAGTTTTTCAGTGTTTTGTTGTCGTTGGGGTTGCACTTGTTATGTTTTAAATTTTTTTATGGGTATATAATTGAGGGTTTTAGTCTTGATAGCTTTGAAATGGTAAGACTGTATCTCGACTCATCAAGTGACTTGACAGGCCAGTAATCTTCAAGCCCCGTGTCCAGGTACCAGTTCACCTCACTGAACTTGCTGAACTCTGCGGGCGCATAACCCAGGACCAATCTAGCTCTCCTGAAGGTCTTCAGGGAGCCAACCAAACGGAGGGACATGACCCAGAGAACTTAGTCCAGACCAGGCCGGCAAGAGGGAGAGAGGGTAGCTCATCAGACAGCGGGCATGCTTGCTCTCGCTGGCTCCTCGGTTCGCAGGCATGACGCGGTTCCAGTGGAACCTCCTTCTCTTCGTCTGTCCTCCTTCTCTTCGTTTGTCCTCCTCCTCTGAAGTAGGGAGAGGGACTTGGGCAATTCTAGTGGGCAAGAGGAGGCAAAGATTTAAGGACATATGGTGTTAGCAACAGAAAACTATACATTTAATGACAATAACATTAACATTACCCAAGACTAAACGATATTGATCAGTTCCCAAACCCTAGTCCACCAAGAGAAGCTGGGTTGCCCCTGAATCACTGGGGAGCACCTTGAAATGGAAAAATTCCCAGGCCACACCGGCAGAGAGTCCGCTTCACTGGGTCTGGGGTGAGACCGGGGAATCTGTATTTTTAGGACAGTCCCCAGATAATTCTGATGGGCAGCCAGGCTTGGCAAACACAGGTATAAATTATTCAGTGACCCCCAAATTACTGTGAATCATGTAACAGTCTAATAAATTTTGATGTGACCCTTTGGGAGAAAAAAGTCCCAAGACAAATTGTTTTCGTGGAAGAATTAAAGTAGTCCTCAAGAGTGAGTAAATTAATCCCAGTAAACACATTATAGTTACTGCATTAAGTAAAAATTTTGTCTGCCTAATCAATAATGAAATAAGCAAAGAGAGGATATTTTAAAGCCTGCAGGAGATATAATTCAAACACTAGCCTAGGTCTGATAAATATTTTATAAACAATCAATTTTATTTCATTCTACTTGAGAAATGAGTAAGGTCCCACGTTCCTGTTTGGCAACGTCAGGTTTTTAAAATTGAATTGGAAGTATACAGAGTTAGTTAAACTAATGCGAATTTCTCCCTTAAGGTGAGTATTAGCAACCTCATAACTAAATAACACCTGGTCACTCTCTCTCCTCAGGTTAGGCCACTTCACATGGTCTTTTGGCTCTGGCTGTGAACTGAGGTTCTGCGAGCCATCTTTTTCCGGAGTAGTGGTCCGGGGAAACGTCCCTGCTCTCCAGAAAAGGCCAGCTCTGTGGATCTCTGGTGCTGGCAGGACCCGGTCCTGGTCCTCCTAGACTTCCTCCTTGTGAGCATCCTGCAAAACCTCAGGTTCTTTTCATTCGTCCACTGACTGGACCACAACAAAATGCGTCTGCTAATGGTGAGTGAGTTTGTGAATACATACCCCGGGGCTTAGGGGGGTGAAAGGGGGTCTGTTTTGGTTTTCTTCCTCATACTAAATTTCCCATCCTAATGAGTAAGATGTTTTGTAAAGGATAAAATCAAGCCAGCCTAGAAGGCCTTCAGGGTTTGATAAACATATGGAGAGATTCTCTCAATTACAAACAAGGAACAGAAACTGAAAATTAGGCCTGTTTTCGGTCTCAGAAGGTTGCAGGACAGGGCGGAAAATGTACTAGAGAAACTGGTTGTCAGAGTTACAGCTGAGACTTTTCTTCTATGGGAAGCCATAACTTTAAAAGAACGTTTCCCCCCATTTCCCGGACCCACTGCACTGCAGGCTGCTTACTTTGGGTAATTATTTGGTGTCAAGACCAGCAAGAACCTCCGCCGGTTTTAACTGGGATGCCACTGCCGGCCTCTAGAGGTCGCACTTCATATAAGAACTTGGGCTGTCGGGGGCGGTTGGGGGCGGGGGCAGAGTTGGCGATCAAAGCTTCACCCCCCAGGCGCCAAGATTAAGCCCCCTGAAAGTCACCCTTTTGGAGTGTCCCCAGAAGAGAGAAAATTAAGGTACGGGAAATTTGAAAGCCGTGTGCTTTATTTCAAAGCAAAACTGGAAGGCGAAGACAACGGGCGCCCGGTTTGTCCCGCCACCGCCCCCAGCCCAGCCCCCCAGTGCAGACTGTCCACAGCTGGCTGGACCCCTGTTGCTTGAAGAGAGTGTCCTTCGTTTTGAGGGTGGGCAGAGAAGGGTCTCTAAGCACAAGGTTTAAAGAACAGGGTTAGGAGGCTCGGTGTCTGAGCGGAGCCGCAGGAGGGCAGTGACTGGAAAAATCGAGCAGCTTTCAGATCCACCCTATCACCAACCAGGAACCGGTTGGGACTGAAGGTTAGGACCCCCTGCTCAGCACGCTTGCACCTAAAAAAAATAAAAAAAGAGAGGCAACCAGCCAGGGGTGGGAAGCGCTGAATCAGCGTCTCAGGACCAATATCTTTATTATGAGCATCTTGGCCCTCAATTGTCCCTCCTCTGGGGGTGGGGAGGTTGTGGTGTGTCCTGAGGAGAAAAGGGTAGCCATAGGTCGCTAATACATTTCTCATATTTCTGTATTTCTACTACACAGGAATACATGACTGAATAAATTGGATACAAAGGAAGCACGCTTCTTTGAGAATTATATGAGAATTCATGTGTGAGAATTATATGAAAACCATATGAAAATTCAGAGCCTTGGCTCTTTATTAAGCAAAAAAATATTACTTCAATGCAACATATATCTCCCTTTCATGTATACAGGTTTTCCCTGCAGTTATTGCAAGCAAAATACTCACTCTGACCTCCAAGGGTTTTATTTTAGATGAGATGACACCCACCTAATTATTTAAGATCAATATGAGGCAGAACGGAATCAGAACCTAACTGGTGCAGATGTGAATGAAAATCAGGACAGTGATCTAAAGAAGGAACACATCCGTAGGAGCTGAAGTTTCTGTTCCAATAAAAGGTCTCATAGAGAAGAAGTGGGACTTGAGTTGAACTCTGAAAATAATTTGGTTAAGTGTATGGGAGTGGAAACAATGGAAGTTTATTGGAGAAGTAACTGCAAAAGTACAGAGGGCATAGTATGGAGGTTCCTTAAAAAATTAAAAATAGGGGCGCCTGGGTGTGCAGTCAGTTAAGTGTACAACGCTTGGTTTCGGCTCAGGTCATGATGTCAGGGTCGTGAGATCGAGCTCTGCGTGGGCTCTGCGCTCAGTGGGGAGACTGCTTAAGATTTGCTCTCTCCCTCTGCCCCTCCCTCCCTAAAATAAATAAATAAATCTTTAAAAAAAATTAAAAATAGAACTACCATATGATCCAACAATTCTACTTCTGGGTATTTAGATGGAGAACATGAAATCACTAATTCTAAAAAATATCAGTACTCTCATGTTCACTGCAGCATTATTTACAATAGCCAAGTTATGGAAATAACCTAAGTGTCCATCAACGGATGAATGGATAAAGAAAGTATGGTATGTATATACATATTATATATATATTATATATATATATAATGGAATATTATTCAACCATATAAAAGAGTGAAATCTTGCCGTTTGCAACAACATGGACCTCAAGGGCATTGTGCTAACGAAAGAAGTCAAACAGAGAAAGACAATTACTGAATGATCTCACTTAACATGTGGAATCAAAAAAAAACAATTGAGCTCATAGATTTGTAGTTGCTAGAAGTGGGAGGTTGTGGGTGAGCCAAGTGGGTGAAGGGAACCAAAATGCACAAGCTTCAATTTGTAAAATAAATGTACAGCATGGTGACTATAGTTAATACTGTATTAAATAATTGAAAATTGCTAAAAGATTAGATCGTATAAGTTCTCGTCACAAGAAAAAAAGTTCTGTAACTATGTATGGTGACAGATGTTAACTAGACTTATTATGGCAATCATTTTGCAATATATACATATATCGAATCATGTAGCACATCTGAAATTAACAATGCTGTATGTCAATTATACCTCAATTTAAAAACAAAGTACAGAGAGCAGGATGAGAGGGGCTATGTGCCAGACAGCGAAATAGATGTCTGCCTGTTACTCTCCACGGTCTGTGTCAATGACAGGAATATCCCCCAAGTTACCCACTCGCTCTACTCAATCATTTAACTTAATCTCCCTCACTTAATTTTTTTTTAATTTTTAAATTTAAATTCAATTTAATTAACATATATGTATCCTTAGTTTCAGAGGTAGAATTTAGTGATTCATCAGTTACATATAACACCCAGTGCTCATTAGATCAAGTGCCCTCCTTAATGCCCATCACCCAGTTACCCCATCCCCCCCACCCACCTCCCCTCCAGCAACCTCAGTTTGTTTCCAGAGTTGAGAGTCTCCCTCTCTGTTTTCGTCTTATTTTTCCTTCCCTTCCCCTATGTTCATCTGTTTTGTTTCTAAAGTTCCACATATGAGTAAAATCATATGGTACTTGTCTTTCTTGGACTGACTTATTTCACTTAGCATAATATCCTCTAGTGCCATCCATGTTGTTGCAAATGGCAAGATTTCCTTCTTTTTGATGGCCGAGTATTATTCCATTCTATTTATATACCACATCTTCTTTATCCATTCCTCTGTCGATGAACATCTGGGCTCTTTCCATAGTTTGGCTATTGTGGACATTGCTGCTATAAACACTGGGGTGCACGTGCCCCTTCGAATCACTATGTTTGTATACTTTGGATAAATGCCTAGTAGTGCAATTGCTGGGTCATAGGGTAGCTCTATTTTTAACTTTTTGAGAACCTCCATACTGTTTTCCAAAGTGGCTGCACCAGCTTGCATTCCCACCAACAGTGTAAGAGGGTTCCCCTTTCTCTGCATCCTCACCAACATCTGTCATCTCCTGACTTGTTAATTTTAGCCATTCTGGCTGGTGTGAAGTGGTATCTCGTGGTTTTGATTCGTATTTCCCTGATGCCAAGTGATGTGGAGCATTTTTTCATGTGTCTGTTGGCCATTTGTATGTCTTTGGAGAAGTGTCTGTTCAGGTCTTCTGCTCATTTCTTGACTGGATTATTTGTTTTTTGGGTGTTGAGTTTAATAACTTCTTCATAGACTAGCCCTTTATCTGATCAGACATTTGCAAATATCTTCTCCAATTCTGTAGGCTGTCTTTTAGTTTTGTCAACTGTTTCCTTTGCTGTGCAAAAACTTTTTATCTTGATGAAGTCCCAATAGTTCATTTTTGCTTTTGTTTCCCTCGCCTGTGGTGATGTGTCTAGCAAGAAGTTGCTGTGGCCGAGGTCAAAAACTGTGTTCTCCAATAGTATTTTGATGGATTCTTGTCTCACATTTAGGTCTTTCATTCATTTTGAGTTTGTTTTTGTGTATGGTGTAAGAAAATGGTCCAGTTTCATTCTGCAGGTGGCTGTCCAGTTTTCCCAACACCATTTGTTGAAGAGACTGTCTTTTTTCCATTGGCTATTCTTTCCTGCTTTGTAGAAGATGAGTTGACCACCTCACTTAATCTTAATCCCCCAAATTGCCAGCCCCTTAACCACTTAACTTAATCCCCCAATTCCCACCCCATGTCCTTAACGTATTCGTGTATAACCCTTTTACATCCTCGAAAAAAAGCCCCATGAACCAAGAATAGAAGACCTCGAGGCGATCCATAACTCATCCAAAGTCATAGGACTCCAACTGACATTGGCCGAATCCAGAGTCCATACCACTAACTTCTACACAATTATTTACATCAGCGGTTAGGTGATGGGCAGCACCAAGCTGCATAAAGCTCTCAGATATGTGTCTTGGCCTGCACAGTGTTTAGAAAAGCGAAGTGAGGGGCGCCTGGGTGGCTCAGTTGGTTAAGCGACTGCCTTCGGCTCAGGTCATGATCCTGGAGTCCCGGGATCGAGTCCCGCATCGGGCTCCCTGCTTGGCAGGGAGTCTGCTTCTCCCTCTGACCCTCCTCCCTCTCATGCTCTCTGTCTCTCATTCTCTCTCTCTCAAATAAATAAATAAAATCTTTAAAAAAAAAAAAAAAAGCGAAGTGATCAGAAAGGAAGGCTGTCTGCCCAACCAGCTTAATTTCTATTCTCCTACCTTCCTGGTTTCACATATTTATGAGACCCAGCCAGGCAACTGTGCTTGGGATCCTGGGCTGACGCTGAGGCAGGAGAAAGGGGAATGGAAAAAAGCCTGTTCTCGAGACTCTTCTAAAAGAAGACTTTGCAAACAAAGACAAAAGAAAGGAAAGAGTTAAATATGACAGACAAGTCTATAGAGTTTTTCAAAGGGTGTTCTCCACCATCAGAATCCCCTAGGGAACTTGTTAAAAATACAGAGCCCTGGGCCTAGGGAGTACCTACTAAGTCTTGGAGATGGCCAAGGAGTCTAAATTTCTAACAGGCTCCCAGGGGGATTCTGATATACACTGTAATTTGAGAACTATTGAATTATACTTGTTCAGAAAAATCACTCGCAATCATCTATTTTCCCCTTTTTGCAAATATAACTCTTTGCCATATCTACTGGAAAATAGTACTCTCCATCAGCTTTCCATATATCCGAGAAAAACCTTTAATTACTTAACTTTCCTTTCTCTGAGCACTCTTTTTATCTGTGAGCTTTGGAGTGCGCAAACTGAAGTCGGTCCCAAGTAATCATTTTCTCACACTGACCAAAGGTCAGGGTTCTGAGCCACAGACATATTTGAGGGCCACAGGCAGTCCTCAACCTCCTCCTGCTCATGCCCTGGGAAAGGTGAGCCAGAGAAATCCCTCCAAAGCCTCTGGGCAGTGAGGGGTGCCCATTCCCTTGCCCCTGGTCTTGGAAAAAACTTACCTCTCCATACATGTCCTTTGAAGCGCAGTATGCCTGGAATAACCTTCCCTGCCTGCCACACTCATAAACTCCTATTCATCATTTAAGGCCCAGCTCAGAAGTAGTGACTCACAAAATAATCATCATAAATCAGGTTTCCTCCTTCTATTCTGTCTTACCTTGCTGTAATTTCCCTTTATGGCACTCATCAAAGTCTGTAATGATGGATTTTGTGTTTATTTTATGAGCATCTATACATCCTATTTGACTGAGAGTTGCGTGAGGGCAGACACCAGTGGCTTTGCCCATACTTATATTCATAGCCTATTACCATGCCTGGCACAGAGGAGGTCCTCCATTAATATTACTGAATGAATGAATGGGTTTACATTTATTGAGTACTTTCAATGTTGCCAGGCACTGGCCTAAGTGCCTCTAATACGTGGTCTGTTGTAATCTTCCCAGCAACCTTCTGAGGTATTATTACCCCTTTTGCATAGATAAGGAAGTTGAGGTTTAATGAGGTCTTGAGAATCGGTCAGAGCCACACAGCTAATAAGTGGGGACACTTGGATTCAAATATGAGTTTGTCTATGCCTAGAAGGCAGCTCTCAGCCACAATACCATACATTTCCTCTTTGAGATGGTCAAGCCCCCTGTTAAGTTACGTTCTGATACTAATACCAGCATTCGTGGTTTCCTCCGTTGTTTTTCTCATGGCACTTCAGCTATTCCTCAGTTAGCACGCTTGTCACATTGCCTCATCAGGATGTAAATATGCGCCCGTGAGTCCCGTGAGTGCATGGCCCAGACCTTATCCAACCAGCAGGCCGATTCTAACCACCCAGGCCATACCCTGATGCAGTTACAATACTGCACAGTAAGTGCCCAATTAACTCAGCATCACTGTCACCTCACGGTGAAGAAGAGGCCATTACATAGGCAGACAGATTAACCACATGAACAAAGAGAGAGCTCAGAGGCAGAGCAAACATAGATGCAAGCTTGACATATGAGATGCGGGGCAAGGGGAGAAGAACACTTGGTTACGCCGGGAAGAGGAATGAAGGTAGACGCCATCATACACCAGGCATGAGAATTAATTCTTAATGGACTAAAGACTTCCAAGTGAAAAACAAAACTTTCAAACCTGTAAGATGATGGATAATTACAATGGTGATCGGGAAAATTAAGACTATGATAAGATGATCATTTTTTTTAATTTTTTAATTTTTTATTAGAGAGAGAGAGAGAGCACAAGCAGGGGGAGTGGCAGGCAGAGGGAGAGGGAGAAGCAGGCTACCCGCTGAGCAGGGAGCCCGACGTGGGGCTCGATCTCAGGACCCTGGGATCATGACCTGAGCCGAAGGCAGAAGCTTAACCGTCTGAGCCACCCAGGCGCCCCAATAAGATGATCATTTTAAAGCCTCTAAACTGGCAAAAAATCAGAAAACTGATAACACTCAGTGTTGGTGAAGATGTGGATCACTGGGCGCCTGGGTGGCTCAGTTGGTTAAGCGACTGCCTTCGGCTCAGGTCATGATCCCGGAGTCCCGGGATGGAGTCCCATGTCGGGCTCCCTGCTCGGCAGGGAGTCTGCTTCTCCCTCTGACCCTCCCCCCTCTCATGTGCTCTCTCTCATTCTCTCTCTCTCAAATAAATAAATAAAATCTTAAAAAAAAAAGATGTGGATCACTAGGAACTCCTAATACACTGCTGGTAGGTATATATATTAGCAAATCATTTTAGGAAAAATTTTGGCAATATCTAATAGATTACATCATACTAGAGCACAGTCTATGTAGTAAAAAATGAATAAGCTGGTGCAGCTGCTGTGGAAAATAGTATAGCAGTTCCTCAAAACATGGAATTACCATATGATCCAGTAACTCCAGTTTTGGATATATACCCAAAAGAAATGAAAGCAGGGACTCGAAGAGATATTTGTATACCTGTGTTCATAACAGCATTATTCACAAGAGCCAAAAGGTGGAAGCAATCCAAGTGTCCATCAATGGATGAATGGGTAAACAAAATGTGGTGTGTATATACGTCTCAGTGGACACTAGTCAGCTTTAAAAAGGAAGAAAATTCTGACATATGCCACAAGGTGGATGAACTTTGAAAACATCGTGCTAAATAAAATGAACCAGTCACAAAAGGACAAATATTGTGATTCCACTTATATGAGGCATCTGGATAGTCAAATCCCTAGAGACAGAAAGTAGAATGGAGGTTGCCAGGGGGTGGAGGCAGAAAGGACAGGGTGTGAGGGTTTAATAGGTACAGCGTTTCAGGGGGGAAAGATGGAAAGTCCTGGAGATGGAAGGGGGCTTCTGTTGCATAACAGCATGAATGTGCTTAATGCAATGGAGCTCTACACTTAACAGTCGTTAAAGGGTAAAATTTATGTTGTGTAAATTTTACTGCAATAAAAAAAAGTGAATGAGCAATGTATCTACTCATTCTCCCATGGGTGCACATTTAGGATATTTCCAGCTTTGTTTGTTCATTCGTTTTTGTTGCTATTGCGGACAGTGCAACTAGGACATTCTTTTACAAGTCTCTACTCTTTCACATGTGCAAGAAACTATGTAAAGAATCTCCCTAAAGATGAAATTGCTGGGTCCACTTTATTATGCCACATTGTTTTCCAAAGTGGTTGCCCTTTTTGACATAATTTACATCATAAAAATAATTTGTAAAAGATGTTCAGGATATGTTAAATAACAATCAGAAGGAGCTAGGTGAATCTTACCCAACTATCTAGAAGTATACTGCCTAGAAAAGGGGACTCCAACCAGACTATCTGTGCCATCTTTTACTCCTTTGCTGGGCATCCCTTTTAAGACCATTGGCTAATTGACACCAGCTGATGGTGGACCACCAGGATGGCAAGAGGTCTGGAAACTTTGAAAGGGAGGAAAGGCTGAATGAGAGGAGTGGAAAGCGCTCATGGGCTTGTTGGAGAGTCTAATTCAGAAGCAGAGCTACCGCTCTTTGCTTGGCTAATGCACTGTTCTCTTCTCTCTAGGAAATTGATCCTTTTTGATTAAGTGAGTTACCTCTGCAGGAACCAGATCCACAGAACCAGCCTGGAAAAGGAAAAGAGCAAGTTAGGGGACACACGAATCCTAACGTCAACTACCAGAAAAGCTGTCTTACAGACCTGGTTTCACTCTGGGAAGTTCCAGAGAGCAGGTCCAGTGGTTAGAGGCCACAGGGGAACTTCTAATAAACAGAGCTGGGCAGGCACCTACAAAATAGGCTGCCTGTGAGGTCCTGGGCACGTCCCACCATCCAGATTGTCAAAGACTCCAGAACTAACAGCTGGGGAAGCCAAAGAAGACAACAGTGGGTCCTCCCCCACTCTGTGATAATGCTTCAAGTGCATCTAAATGGTAGGCACCCCACCGGCCATAATAGCACTTGGTTTTAGGTCCACTCAGTCAACATTGGAGCTGGGTTTTCTGTCTAATTATTCCATTACCCATTCTGACCTTACCATGAGCCGGAGTAGCCCTTTTAATGTAATTTGTGGTTGCTGGAGAATTAAAACTACTGCCCAGGCTTAGGTTTTACTATTTATAAAGTAAGCCATGCATTCCACTAGTAAAAAGTGGCTTTAGTTTTTTTCTATATCCCAGACAGGTCATCGTTTGCTACCTCTCCTATAAACAGTCTACCATCTTTTCAAGATTTTCTCCCACAGGCACTTTAAAGCATCTCCAAATTCTGCACACAGAAGTGTTTCGATTACCTTTGATGGCATCCCACAAGACACTGAACTTAAAGACTTATATAAACAGCCACAGGCAGTTCTCCACTGATACTGTGCAATGCCATCACGAAGAAGGGCCCACAAATAAGTCAGAGGATTTCATGTCACTTTTAAACCACTGAATGGAGGGGCGCCTGGGTGGCTCAGTCAGTTAAGCGTCTGCCTTCGGCTCAGGTCATGATCCTGGAGTCCCGGGATCAAGTCCCGCATCGGGCTCCCTGCTCAGCGGGAAGCCTGCTTCTCCCTCTCCCTCTGCCTCTCCCCCTGTTCATGCTCTCTCTCTCTCTCTCTGTATTTCTGTGTCTCAAATGAATAAATTTTTTAAAAATCTTTAAAAAAAAATAAACCACTGAATGTACAGTCTGCTGAAAGATTTTGATCAATACCGACTCCACCCTGAACACCATGAGAAATGCGAGGCATGATGCCGATGCCTGTTCCCGAGTCTGGAAATTTCTTTGCTAAGCAGTCATTAAATCAGTGAAAAATGATACCAGATTATGTGAGTTGCTCAAATTGTTTTAGCAGCAGTCCTGGAACCAAAACCCCATGAATACATTCGAAAAATCCGCAATTGGCAAATGTTTAAATGTCAGGTCCATGCTAATTTATTTTGCAAACTACTCCAGGGAAGCCAGATATCAGCCCAAGCCTTCCCTGCTGGTAGGAGAAAGATTTCCAAAAGTCCTCTCTCGCTGATGTCAGAGCCCAGTGGGCTCTCTTTGTTCCTTCCCTGGCACCATTTGGTGTCGCTGTGAAATTTTCTGCTCCTGCTGCTGGTACGGGCATCGTGTCAAATCGGGTTCAACCCTTGAGTGTGTGCTGAGCCCGAGCAGGTGCGGGAATGAAGTAACTGCCTTGTAGCCATATTTGCATCTTTCAGCTGCTGAGCAAGCTGGCTCGGGTGTGCTTCCTCCGTTCATCTGCCGTTGGTTTGCTCAGCCCGGGACCGGTTGTCTGCCCAGCAGGACCTGAACTGGTGGTTTCATCCTTGTCATTTGATGAATTACTGACAGCATGTTGGAAGCTGTCCTTTCATTCTTAAGAGGCAACTTCTCTCTGTTGTGGAATCACTTCTCCCTGCAGAGCCGAAGGTTTGGGGCACCCCTGAGACTTGGCCCTGAGCCCATGACTGGAGACCATCATAAAAGGGAGACAGTTGTGGGTTTGGCCGTAGGAGCGTGTCTCCACCTTTCTCCTCACCCGGAGTGGACTCACAGGGAAGAAGCACAGGCCTCCTCCCACAGAGACCCAGTAAAGGCAGTAAGACGCTGACTCAGAGTCACAAGGGACTTCGCGATGAAAAGTGAGAACTTCAGCATCTCGTGCTTTCTAAGTGGGCATTACCAAATACTCACCGACTTTTTAAGGTTAATAGTGATTATGAATTAGGGGCTGGCTTGCAGACGGACGAGGGTTGTGGCTGCTGCCGATGAGGGAAAATCAAAGCCGTCTATTAGAGACCTCCAGGTCTCCTAGACGCCAGTGTGGTTTGCTTTCAACACGCCAGACTGCTCTGTGGCCTCACAACCAAAATGTCTGGGCCAAGGGCTGGGATCCGCCAGGCTGGTCTGGAGGTGGTGCTGAGAGAAGGCAGAGGGATATAATAGGAGGTGAGGTGGGAAGAACTAGATGCCCAATATCCAGAATGCTTTCATACACAAGCACAGTGCTGAGGACGTGCCCTAGAGAGGATCTGGCAGAGGTGAGAGTGACAAGGCATTGACAGAGTCAGAGGGGAAGGCAGTTGCATTGATATTCTCAAAAATAATTTTTGGGGGGCTCTCGGGGGCTCAGTCGGTTAAGCGTCCGAGGAGGCTGGATTTCGGCTCAGGTCATAATCTCAGGGTGGTGAGACTGAGCTCTACGTTGGGCTCCGTGCTGGGCATGGAGCCTGCTTAAGATTCTCTCTCTTTCTCCCCCTCTGCTCCTCCCCACCCCTCTCTCTAAATAATAATAGTGATAATTTTAACAAAAACCAAAAATGTATTTCTGGAGCCCAAAGTGGAAAGGACTAGATTCTTCCAAAACAAAAATGGGAGTGGGTAGATGGAGGAGGCAAAGGGCTTTCAAAAGCAGTCCTGGTCTGGTATGAGCCAATTCTATAAGAAGATGAAAGAGGTGCCCGAGACATCATGAGGGGATGGAGCTGGGGCATTGCACTGGGCAGGCTGGTGAGGACTGGTCCTGAAGGGCCGGTTTCCTCCCCAGGAAACTGTGCAGCCCCTGGCTGCCGAAAGCCACGCAGCCAGTTGGCATGGAGACTTCTGGATATTGTGACCTGTGGACACTCAGCTCCATTTGCCTGGCAATTTCCAGCACTCCCCCAACCCCACCTTCACCAAGCTATTATCAAGAGAAAGGAAAGGTATGTTTAATGATCCTAGGGAAGGTTTCCCCTTTCTCTAGAATGAGCCAAATCTTCTTTTCTCCTGTAGTAAAGAAATAGAAAAAACAAGCTGAGTCATCAGAAAAAATTATAATCTGATAGGAAGTTTAGCTGAAACTTTAGCGACTAAAGAGAATAGGGTGAGGGACACATGGGAGCCACTGGAGGAGGAGGCCGCGAGGGGAAATCAGGTAACCCACGTACGCAGACACTGAACTTGGCCACCACCCGCTTTGAACCTGGAAGATAGCAGCAAACCAAGAACTGGGGCTGTTGCCAGGGAAGGGGGTGCTGTAACCGTCCCTATTCCAAACCGCCGGGGTGTCTGGTGAGTTCAAGAGCTGGCTCTCCCCACACAGTCCTACTGACGGGCTGTACCCTTTCCCTCCCTGCTTTTACTGCTGCCCATCTTCACCGGAGGCCCTGCAGCCCTCCCCACTGCTTATCCAGCTCTCCGCTCAGCTTCGGGAGCTGCTCTCTGAGCCCACGATTAAATAATTACCGGGCACGCTCGGCATTTTACTATGTGCCAGACTCGGCTCTGAGCGCTTTTGCATGTCTTAACTCCTTTAGTCCTCGTGACAACCCTGTGAAGTATGTATTATTTTAGCCCCATTTTACAGAAAGAAAGACTGGGGCACAGAGCGGTGGAGTGACTTGCCCAAGTTCACACAGCCACTGAGCGGCAGAGCTAGGATTTGAACCCTGGAGGTCTGACACGGACATCCATGCCCTCAGCCATTATCCTGCCTCTCAACACCAGCCCGTCCTAGGATGCCGGATGTTAGGTTGTGCAAGTTCATTCTGAGGCCCTATTGGTTTAGCCAGTGAGGCCTCCTAACAAGCACACTCGGCCCTGCCTAATCCCTGAGCCCATCTCACCAACGCAGTTGATGGCTGCGATCCTGGCATCCTGCCCGGCTCTTACCAGGCCCTTCCCATGGGGCCTGATGCTAACTGTCTATCCCCAGCTACTGACTAGGGTCCTGCTGAACGCAGACCCCTCACCTGGGACCCCTCCACTGTACCCTGGCTGACTTTGAGTCCATCTCTAGCTGGAAGCCCCAAATACAATGCACCTGTCACAGGGCTAGACCCTTTTAACCGTGAGAAGGCCCAGGGTCACCACTTTTCCCCACACTGGATTGCTCACTCCTCATCCTTCCACCAGTGCCCCCCACTCCCCACAAGCCCCCGCTTCTGCGCTGAGCCCACCTAAATTGTGAGGGGCTTCAACCTTCTGTGAGGGGAGGCACTGTCTTTTAAAAACAAATGGATAAAAAACAACAACAACAGCAAACAAATGGATAGGTGAAATGTATTCAAGGGGGACCCTTCTTCCTAAAGGCCACATGAATGGAGCGCGGTCAAACTCTGACCTCGGAGAGTCATTCAGGGAATCCTCTGGATCCTCTCTCCATGTGACCTCCATGTTTACCGTCCTCTAAGCACACTTAGACGGGGTCGGTGGTGAGACAGAGTCCACAGCAGTGTGACCCAGGGAAGACACTTGGGGAACGTGGCCTGGGGCTATGGGGAGTGAAGCAGTGACGGGAGGAAGGAGGAACGGGGAGGAGCGCCGTCCCTGCCACATGGCCCTGAGGCTTATCCTGTCCAGACGTGGTCTAAGGCACCCAGCAAACACTCTGGGACGGAGGTGATAAATAACATTCTTGCTTGGCTTTAGCTTTCATTCCCAGGAACGTAATCTCAATTTAGAGTTTCCACGTAAGTTTTGCCAGAAATATTGCCAATTCTACTGTCCAGCGCTTTTCCAAGAATGCAGTCCACTTCTGGCCCCTGAGGCAGACTGTCAGTCTGTTTCCAGACAGCTAAGGAACACATGCCTGTCTTTTTTTTCTTTTTTCTTTCTTTCTTTCTTTGAGAGAGAGAATGAGAGAGAGAGAGAAATAGAGAGCACAGGAGGGGGGAGGGTCAGAGGGAGAAGCAGACTCCCTGCCAAGCAGGAAACCCGATGCGGGACTCGATCCCGGGACTCCAGGATCATGACCTGAGCCGAAGGCAGTCGCTTAACCAACTGAGCCACCCAGGCACCCCACATGCCTGTCTTAATAAGTAATATTACTTTAAGGATCCCAGACCCGAGATCAGCATTCTCCGAAACATGTCCTAGCTATGAAGAATTATGAAGACAAAAAAAAGTGTGGGAAAGGCTACATACGATGGGCCCCCCTTGCTGCAGATCCCAGCCGCCTCTTACATGTTGAGGCCGCTGGGAAGTTGTGCAGCCAAGAAGCCTGTGTCCTTTCATTTAACGTTGTATTTCCCTGGACTGGGAGCAGGAGCGATTGGAGAGTGACGACTTCGTGGGTCAAGGGTTTCTTTGAGGCGTGATGGAAAAGTTCTGGAATTAGTAGTGATATTTGTACAACATTGTTCCAGTACTAGATGCCACTGAACAGAACTCTTTAATATGGCTAAAACGGTAAATTTACTCCTATATGTGTTTTACTACAAAGAGAGAGTGAAGGAGGGAGGGAGGGCGTACCTCCTGATGGGGTGCAACGGGAAGTGGACAGCACTTTCTATGAGGTAGTCTTGCCAAAAAAATCCAACTCGATTATGCCTCGAGGGCTACCAGTTTGTAGGCAAAACGGGGGGAAAAGAGGAATATTCAACAACTCCCTGCAGAGGCATTCAGCAAGATAGAAAATGGGGGACTTCTAAGGAATAAGTCATCAGCTTTCTTTTTTTTTTTTTAAGATTCTATTTATTTATTTGAGAGAGAGAGAATGAGAGAGAGCACATGAGAGGGGGGAGGGTCAGAGGGAGAAGCAGACTCCCTGCAGAGCAGGGAGCCCGATGCGGGACTCGATCCCGGGACTCCAGGATCATGACCTGAGCTGAAGGCAGTCGCTTAACCAACTGAGCCACCTAGGCACCCTAAATCATCAGCTTTCTTTAACAAATAAAAGACAAGGGGGAAAAAAGAGGGAGAGTGAACAGTCACAGTTTAAAAAAGATTTATAAGACCTATCAGCCGAATGCAGTGTGTGAACCGTGTTTGGATCCTGATTTAAACAAAACAACTAATTTTTTTTAAGATTTATTTATTTTTAAAAAGATTTATTTATTTATTTATTCATGAGAGACAGAGAGAGAGGCAGAGGCAGAGGGAGAAGCAGACTCCCCGCCAAGCAGGGAGCCCGATACGGGGCTCAATCCCAGGACTCCGGGGTCATGACCTGAGCCTTCAGCTCAGGTGCCCTCAACTAATTTTTTTAAAGCATTAATGTGACAACCAGAAAAATCTGATTACTGACTGGATTTTTTTATGGTATTAAGGAATTATTGTTCAATTTGTAGGTGTGATATGGCATTATGATGATGCAAAAAAGAAAGATTTTATTTTTGGAAATACATATTGAAGCATTCACGGATGAAAAGATGTGCCTGGGACTTGTCGTAAAGTACCCTTTCTGTATAAGGAAAGGGCGGAAGGGCGCCTGGGTGGCTCAGTCAGTTAAATGTTGGACTCTTGGTTTCAGCTCAGGTCATGATCTCAGGATCATGAGATGGAGCCCCACGTGGGGCTCTGCGCTCAGTGGGGAGTCTGCTTAATACTCTCTTCCCTCTCCTTCTGCCCCTCCCTTCCAAGATCTCTCTCTTTCTGTCAAATAAATAAATCTTAAAAAAAAGAAGGGGAGGAAAACAGATGACAGTTTAGAAGAAAAAAGTCTAGCCATGGAATTGATAATTGCTGGAAGCTGGGTGTTCTAATTTTGTATTAAGTTTGAAAATGTCCATATAAGAAGTATTTTTAAAATACGTTGCTGAGCAACAAATGAAAAGAAGGACCTAAGTCTTGGACATGGGGTAGTTTTCTAATAACCAAATCTCTGGTAGATGTAGGATGTTAAAATTAGACCCAGAGATTTTAAGATCAGGATTTTTATATTTGCTTTCCATCCTTCCATATTTGGAAAAGAAAATACCATTCTCATAAAGCAGGGTAGAGTCAAGGAAAGCAAAAATAAAAGCATTCCTTAAGTGTTTGTTGCGTGCATGTATTAATTTCTTGTTCACAGTCCTCTAATAGCTTCCCATCTCACTCAGAGTAAAGTACAAATTCTTCACCATGGTCTGTGATGGGTCCAGTATGACTTGGCACCTGATACCCTTCTCCGCACTGGCCTTCCCGCTATTTTTTGAAAAAAGTTGGTGCTCACCTGTCTCAGGGCCTTTGCACTCACTATTCTCACTACCTGGAATACTCTTTCATCCAGCTAGCTGTGTGGTTCTCTCTCTTGCCCTCTTGAAGTCAGACTTTCCCTAGGCACTTCCTTATGTAACACAGGTGTGAGCTCCCGTACACATACCATCACTCACCTCTCCTTTATCTCTTTTTCCCTGCTTTGTTCATATTTTTTAGCATTGATCACCCCCTGAAAAATTATTTGTTGATTGTTTGTCTGCCCCATGTGGACTGCAAACTCCAACAGACCTGGGGTTTGTTTTATTCCTGGGTTTTTTTAGCGCCTAGTAGGTGCTCATTAAATATTTATTGAATTAATTAATTTAGTGCATATCCAAAAGTGTGTAGGTAAACATGCCCACCCCATGGGGGGCTGAAATGTATTTCCATACTGGCCAAGACCCTCCTGGATTAGCTGGAAGTACTTAAGCTGGGCCAAGCAGCCTGTGGAGCAGCCAAATGCCTTGCTGTGAGAGAAGACTCCTAGTCCATTCAGCCTACGGGAGGGATAGCTGGGGGAGATCTCCTAGAGCTCTGTTGAGGCTGGGATGACTATTCTTTTCTTGAGAAGAGTGAGATTAGATGAAGGTCTCGCTGAAGGCTGGCAGCAGGCAAACTTGGAAGAAAGGACACAGCTGGACAGAGTGTTTAGGGGTCACAAGAATACTATGGACTCAGATGCTACAGATGGTTTGAGGTTCTTTTTTTTTTAAGATTTTATTTATTTATTTGAGAGAGAGAGAGTGCAAGAGACAGCGTGAGCCGGGTGAGGGGCAGAGGGAGAAGCAGGCTCCTCGCTGAGCAGGGAGCCTGATGCGGGGCTTGATCCTGGGACCCTGGGATCATGACCTGAGCCGAAGGCAGACGATCAACCAACTGAGCCACCCAGGCGCCCCTGGTTTGAGGTTCTTAAAGGAATTTGTTTTCAGGGGAGAGCCGGACAATATACAAATGGATAAGCAATTCTGAGTGGTAAATATCCCACAGAGCAATACTGTGTGGGCAGAGAACTAGACCCTGATACGGCTGTCCAACGTATTTTGAAGAATTTCACTTCTGCCCAGGATGACCTCCTGAATTACTCCTCAGGTTGCTGTCCAAAGGAATCTGGGTGGTGGTTGTGTGGTCGTCGTTGTTTTCCCCCAAAGGAATCCAAGTAGCTAAGACCCTCCTTGGGAACCCAGGTCAGAGCTCACACTTGAGAAGCTGGGTGATGTGTGTTCTGCCTCTCCCCTAAAACTGCCAAGGAACTGAGTTTCCACATGTAACAGAAGAGAGCAGTGAGCTTCTCTGCTGGAGAGACAGCACGGCCGAAATTGGGGAACCCTGGGAGGGGAACTGGCTTTCACCAGCTGCTCACTTCCTAAAAAGCTGTACAGCAGAATGACTTGTTAATGATCCGAATGTTTAAATCAACAAGGTGATCCTGCTGGTTACAAGATTCCTATAGGAAATATTTTGGGAAAATACATAATCCTTCGTTTACAGTCTCAAACATGAAACACATTTCTATACTTCCTGTTTTCACATGGCAGAATATCTCTTTACATCAGCCAGTTTCTGGTCCGTCAGCCACCTTGCTGAATTTCAGTGTCAGCTATGCTAAATAATCCTCTCTTGGCTGTGGAAAGATTTCCTGGCAGGCTCTCCAAGACAAGGACAGATGGCATCCCATTGGGGGTACTCCCAGCTCTTTGTGTTAGCAAATATTGACATTTTTGTGGGAAACAGATCCAGATCCTGTTTCTTCTTAACTCAGCTTGGCAATTCTGAAGGTTTGGAGACATGTAGTTCAATAGAATTGGGAAAGTGCACTTGCCACTGAATTAAAAAACACATACATTAAGGAGGGTAACGTTCATGGTTAATTGATGCTCATAAAAGTCACAAAGTAGTAAGCAATATTCTGTGATCACAAATCACTTTCGAGCAGAAATGAGGGAGTATAGGCAGGGAGAGGGAAGACAAGTGACAAAAAAATTCAAACTTTTTTTTAAGAGCCCCAAAATATTAAAAATATAAAAAGAGTCTATCATGGAGTTATAATAGTGGAAGTATGACAACAACCTAAACATTCATCAGCAGCAAATTGTTTCACTAAATCAAGATACATCCACATTAGAGGATATTTTGCAGCCTACAGAGATGACAATGTGTGGCAGTATTTGTTTAATATGGAAGATGTAATCAATATTGGCGGTTTTTAAAAAGCAGGTGCAAAAAGCAATTTGTTACAAAACCAAATTATTTTTATAAAGTTATTATAGAACTCCTATAAGTTATAGAAATTATAAAAATTATTTTTATAAAAATGATGTGTGCGTGTTGTGTGTGTGTGAGACACTAAAAAATAGTTATCTTTGGGTGGTGAAATTCTAGGTGTTTTAAGTTCCAGTTTCCTTTCTGTATTATCTGTTGGTGGTGTTTTACAAGGAGCATATATTGCTTCTATCATGAGGAGGCAAACTAAAAGTTATTCCAAGTTGTAAAAAGGAAGTCACAGATAACTTTTAATCAACTTCTCCAGCAAAAGCTTGACATGGTGCTTTGCTGGGGCCCTACGGAACCAAGTTCAGGGCAGAGGGAGCCTTGAAGGTTAGACACTGGGACCAGGTAAAGGGTTCAGAGGGCTTCCAAGTCAAGTCTCCCACACATCTGCCCTGACCTGAACTGGCCTGAGAGCCAATGGGGAAACACCACATTTCAGCAACACTTCCTCCCGTGCCCTGGTTCTGAGGCTGCCATGAACTTGGCAGCACCCAGAGTATCCCAATCTTTACTCAGGGGAAAAATAGTTCTTATGTAATCACAAGAACCACACAAGAACGAAGGGAAATAGTAAACTTACCTGTATCTGTTTTCTAGAAATGCTACAGCAAATTACCACACCAAAAGTCTGGTGACTTGAAATGGAACTGTATCTCTCACATGTGGTTGGGAGGTCAGAAGTCCGAAATCGAGGTGCTGGCAGGACTGTGCTCCCCCTGAAGGCTCTCAGGGAGACCCTTCCTTGCCTCTTCCGGCTTCTGGTGGCTCCTGGTGCTCGGGGCAGCACTGCTTCCATCTCTGCCTCTGTCTTCACATCGCCCCCTTCTCAGTGTGTCTGTGTGTCCTTTTCTGTCTCTTATAAGGACACTCTCAGTGGATTCAGGGTCCACCCTACTCCTGTATGATCTCCTCTCAATCCTCACCTTATATCTGCAGAGACCCTATTTCCAATTTAGGTCACAGTCTGAAGTTTGGGGTGGGTGTGAATTTTGGGGGACATTGTTTGGCCCACTATAATATTGTAGACAATATTTGTTCAGGAATCAACAACTCTGAAGAGAATTTACCTTTCTAAAAAGGAGGTGGAAGGCCGGCAGGGGTTGCCAGGGGGCTCGGAATCGGCTCTACCGGGGCCCAGATAGCCCTGCCTCTGTCTTGTAGTTTGGCAATCAGCAAGCTGCCTTGGGGTTAAGATCAGATAGTTTCTGGAGTACAGGACAATAAAATTAGGAACTGGAGAAAAACAACAAGGACAAAGAAACAGTTAAGCAGGAATTGGTTAATGATGTGAATTAGCACAGAGAACATTACAGCTACTATCAAAAATGCAAATGTGCTTGAAGGAGAAGATCAAGGAAATGAGAGAATTCAGGTGCTAAACTAACCATCAATTCAGGAAATAAAAAACGCATCAACTCTACTAAATAATGATCAAGGTCGTCAGCCTCAGAACTAGTTTCTGATAGCAAAGGAGCAGTAAGTCAGGCCTCTAGAAACTGGACTTATATTGAGTCCCGATTAGGGGATTCTTGGGTTTTCTACTTTCTGGATGATCAGTGACGTTCCCCACAACCCAACTTATGTGCTTCTTCCCTATCAGCAAATAGTGTGAAACTGCAGAGTGAAGATCAATGTGATACACTTTCCAAACATCGTCTGGCAGGTACATGTACTAACCAAAAAAGTAGGGAAGTCGCATCATAAAGTCAGAGAGAGATGCTTTCATGTTCCCTTTCCTGCTGGAGATTGAATCCAGAGTAGAGCGTATTTTCTTTTCCAAAGCTATGTGGTGGTGCTTTTACGACTGAAAGCCTCATAGACAAGTGAGAACATGAGTTTGATAGTAATCAAACATAACTCCTCATTCACGGCCAAGACTTCCAGAGACATTGAAGGCAAGACAGGAACCTAGAAACCTGTCCAGTTCAAGTTCTCTCTGTGCAGGTAAGAGATCCGAGGTCCAGATATATAGGTACCCCTTCCAAAATGACTTGCTTGGGCCAAACTAGGATTAGAACCAGGAATCCCAAGCTCCCTTCATGATATGCTTTGAATATTCTCATCAGGCAGCATTCCTTAAACACCTAGACCGTCAGAGTAAAGTGCTACTCTACTTTGAATAAGCCACTCTTGGTTTGCATTAGTGTATCAAGTCACTGTGAGGGGCTAAAAGAGTATCTTCAGTCAAAAAGAGCTAGATACCAAGTAGGTGCTGAACAAGTGGTTTCTAAATGAATAGAATGCAGAATAAGACCAAGGAACAGTGGCTTCCCAGCTGTGCCCAAGACTGGTATCCACGCTCTCCTCTTGGTCTTGGGAGCACCACTAGGCCCCACCTTCCCGCTTTCCTTGCTTTTAAGCGTGGCCATGAGGCTGAGTTCTGGCCAATGGAATGTGAGTGGAAGTCACGGGTGGCACTTCCAGGCCTGGCCCACAAATTTCCTCCCATGCTTGGTCTTCACTCTCTTTCTCCATCACCAGCTGAATGGAGAAGACGCTGAGGACCTGTAAGAAGACGGAGCCATAATAAGGATAGGGCCTGTGTCCTCAAATGACCTAAGAAAGTACAGATTCCCCTCATCCCAAACCCTTTCTTGATCAGAGAAATAAGAAAGAAGTAAACTTGCATTGGGCCAAGCCACCGAGATTTGGGGGTTATTTATTATAGTGGTTAGCCGCTCTGATGAGGTCTGTGTGGGTGGTTAACCAGAACAGGCCAGAATTGTTTAGGGGCGAGGCACTTCGTTGTGACAGGACCAAGGCTGACGATGCTAATTCCCTTTGCTCCCAACTATGTATGCTGCAAACTTGCAGATTTCTCATTCCCTGCCGATCAGCCTCACTCTGTCCCCCAGACCTCTCCTCCTAATTCCCTTTACATCCTCCGCAGTCCCCTTACACACACACACACACACACACGCACACACACACACACACGTGCGCATGGCAACCTCAAACTCTGGAAGCTTAACCTGAAGGTAAGAATTCTAATTCACACTACAGAGACGGGATGGGTGGCAGCAAAGCTCCTTCGCTTGTGAGTTCCCTGGCATGGGCCTGGCCTTAAACAAATCGATTTCTCACAGGAGGAATCTTAGGTTCCCAAATCAGTGGCATGCACTTCACCCTGTGCACATCCTGCTGCCCTCAGAAGACTGGAAGATAGAACTCAAGGGGCGCCTGGGTGGCTCAGTCGGTTAAGCGGCTGCCTTCGGCTCAGGTCATGATCCCAGGGTCCTGGGATCAAGCCCCGCATCGGGCTCCTTGCACGGTGGGGAGCCTGCTTCTCCCTCTCCGTCTGCTGTTCCCCCTGCTTGTGCGCTCTCTCTGATAAATAAATAAATGAAATCTTAAAAAAAAAAAATAAAGATAGAACTCAAAACTGTGTCCTAAATATGGGAGTGGTTATTTTTGTGTAGATCAAAAAGGAAGAACATCATATAAGGGACAAACCAATATGTTATCTTCCCTGAAACTTTGCAGAGAAGGTTTTAGCAGGTTTGACACTTTCAAAAGCCATGGGAAGCACGCATTGATTGAAGAAAGGCATTCCCTCCTGCTGGAAGAGGAGGATGGGTAATGAAGAAACAAGCCAAACAGCCCAGAGGAGGTGTGGATTGCAGTGAAAAGTGGAGAGCTTGTGGGTTTGAAATCTGACCCTGCCATTTAGCAGCAGCATGTCATTGGGCATGGGGTGTTGCATCCCTGGGTCTTACTGTCCTTATCTAGACAGTATAAAATGGAACTGTGACTTCATACCTCCTTCACAGAGTTGCTGTGAGGAGTAAATGATATCACACATGAGAAGGCCCAGCACATAGTGGGGTTCAGCACATCGCAGCTTCCACTGTGAATGCTGTGTCTGAGCACATCAATGATGGTCATCATCATCACAGCATCCAAAACAGCTTCATAGGACACCTGGGTGGCTCAGCGAGTTAAGCGTCTGCCTTCAGCTCGGGTCATGGTCCCGGGGTCCTGGGATCGAGTCCCGTGTCGTGCTCCTTGCTTGCAGGGAGCCTGCTTCTCCCTCTCCTCCCAGCTCAGTGCTCTCTCTCACAAATAAAATTAAAAACAAAACAACAGCTTCATAGTCAAACTTTCAGAAGGTTATAGACTAACAAGAGAACGAGGACAAATTCTTCCTCTTGATTAGGTATCAGTTGATTCATCATGACCGAGGCGGGTACTAGCCAGCAAACGAGATTATTCATAAATCTATTTCGCAGAAGCCTTTGGCAAAATGTCTCAACAATTGCAGGGTCATTTAAGTTCTAGTGATTATGCCTGTTTTGAAACTAGCTATGCTGAATTCTTCCTCCTAGATAAAATGACTTCTATCTTAATTCATGTCTTGGACTTTTAATAGGCTACTTTGCTTAATCTTGGAATTTCTACTACAAATTTAAATTTCCAGTGGCTAACATTAGCAGAAACTTTCAAAAGAAGGATGCCAAAGTTCTAACCTGTTTTTTTCTTTGCTGATTCTGGATAGATACTTACAAGAAATTGCCACAGAACAAAGCACTGGTGCTCACTTCACACCAGCTGTTGATAGCTATGTTTTCACGGTGCCTATCTTTCGTGCCAAGTTACAATCTTACATTTTAAATTGGTGTAAACTAGATTATTGTGTCTCAGGATCAGAATGTACTACTGCAATGTTGCTTCGTAGTTATAAATTATTCATTGCCTATCCCACTAACCGTACAGCACAACTGTAGTCCCCTTCTGACACAGGATGTGGTAGTTATCTAGGCTGTGTAACAAGTTACCCCAAGACTTAGTGGCTTGAAAGAACATTTATTTTCTTTAAAGATTTTATTTATTTATTTGAGAGAGAGCGAAAGCGAGAGAGATTATGGAGGGAGACGGAGAAGCAGACTCATCATTGAGTGGAGAGCCCGATGTGGGACTCGATCCCAGGACCCCGGGATCATGACCTGAGCCGAAGGCAGACGCTTAACCGCCTGAGCCACCCAGGTGCCCCTTGAAAGAACATTTATTATCTTCAAGTCCTTTCTGGGTCAGGTATCCATGTGCCACTTAATTTTGTCCTGTGGTTTGAGGGTCTTTCACAAGGTACAATGGAGGCAGCAGAGAGGGCTACAGAACATCTCAGAACATCTGTAAAGCTCCCTCAAGTGGCTGTTGGCAGGCCTCAGGTTCTCACCGGCTATTGGCTGAAGACTCTTGTGTCTTGCCACTTGAGCTTCCACATAGGGTTACTCACAACATGGCAGCTCTCTCCAAGAAGGAGAGACTAAGAGATGGAGAGAGCAGGTAAGTGCTATGGTCTGATTTTTTGTGTGCCCCCCAAATTGAAATCTAACCCCCAAGACGATGTTATTAGGAGGTAGGGCCTCTGGGAGGTGGTTAGGTCAGGAGGGTGGAACTATGATGAAAGAGATTAGTGCCCTTATAAAAGCCACTGAGCAAGTCCCTTGTCCCTTCCACCATGTGAGGATACAACAAGAAGTTAGCAGTCTGCAACCTGGAAGAGGGTTCTCACTAAAACCCGCCCATGCTGCCACCTTGATCTTGGATTTTCAGCCTCCAGAACAATAGATTTCTGCTGTTTAAGAGCCACCCAGGCCTATGATATTTTGTTATAGCTGCCAGAACAGACTAAGCAAGCAAGAAAGAAGCCACTGAGTCCTTTTATAACCTAACCTCAAGGATGACATCCCATCACTTTTGCTATGTTCTATTTGTTAGAGGTAAATCACTAGGTTTGGCCCACACTCAGGGGGTGGGAAGTACTGGGAATCATCCTAGAACCTGCCTTCCTCACAGGAATACCACTGAAGGCAGTGTTTTGTAAACTAATCCTGGTGAAGGACCAGCTTGCTTTTTTCCCCAATCTTTGGAGGTCAGTACTTTTGTAAAATAAAAATTCATTTCTAAAAACATAACAATGGCATAAAAAAGCAAACCCACTGATCATGTGTTGGATGTCACACAATGTCAAATTGCTGTAAAAATTTCTGAACACTCTCAATTCTATTACCTACCTCATTTGAACCAGAAACAGTTTGTGGGTTGACACCAGTCTTGGACCATTCTTTGAGCAGCACTGACTTAAGGACTTCAACAAATGTAGGTGACTTTTCAAGGCTTTTACAAGACAATGGTTTGCACTTTTTACCTGGCTATTCCTGGAGGGAGAGATTTTAGAAATTTTTAAACACCTAAGAAGTCATTCTTTCTAAATGCACCACTCTCTGCAAACCTAAAATTGGGATCTCTTGTGATTAAAGTCAAGAGTGTATGGGATTGATTCTGAGTCTCCTGTTTAAGATTTTACTGCAGAGTCCTTTATGTGCTCTCCTGTTCACCAATCTGTAAGCAAGAATTAAGACACTTTTGAATGAAGCAGTCTGACAAATATGATTGTCTAAGCACGTTTTTAAAGATGAGGGGTCAACCCCCTTCTCAATTAATGTTACAAAGGAAGTTTGAATGTCCTTCCTGATGCTAGTCTATTATTCAGATCCCTCAAAACACTTCTCAAGTCTAAATTCCTCAATTCAACTGAAAAAAATATATTTTGAGCACCAACTCTGTGTGCAAGATTCTGGAAGATATGACCTTGAAGAAAGCACCATCTCTGTTCTCACTTGGTATATAACACTCCCTTTAGGGTAATGTACATCTCAATATTTTGGCATGTGAGTACATTCTTTCTCTTGTTTCTGAATATGTCAAACATCTCTATCTAATCTCTCAGCATCAGGCAATTTAGTAGGTGCTTGGTAAAAACCTGAGTTCAGTGGACATGAACTGAACCCAGAACCTGAATCCCCTGTCCAGGGACTAAGTGCTGTGAACAAGGCTTTGGTCCCAAACCTCACTAATCTGGCGAGTATCTCTCTTCTAGCCTCTTTGTCACCCCCCTAACCCATCCTTCAGGGCTTAAAGCAGAAGCAACTTTAAGAAGCCTGCTTCTGCCCCCCTGGCTCTCAGTGGGAAAAATGAAATCTCATGTGAACTTTTCACACTAGGCCCAGAAGAGAGAACCAGGTAGAGAAAGGGACCTTTAAAAACAAGTCTTTCTTGCTCAACTCCTTACACAACTGCTAACCCTCAGTTGGTCATCTCCTCCTTCTCCCTCCCCGATCTGAGGAAGAGAGTGAGGGTTATAGTAAAAGCTACATTTGCAAGGCCCAGTACTGAGTACCATGTAGGCACAGAAGTGAGCCAAACAGGTTTCTGCCCCCCTTAAGAATTTACAATGGGCAAATGAAACCAATCCTCAACTACAAAACAAAGTGGAATGTGCCAAGTGTTGTAATGTTGGCATATGGAGAAAGCACTGTGGGAGAACAGATCGGGGAAGAGATTAATTCCAAATGGTGAAAACTCAGAGGATATATCTTTGGGGTTAAGCTTTGGAGGATGGTAACATAAATAATGGGTAACATTCAAAAAACACTTCCTATACCAAGTGCTGTGGTTGGTGGTTTAGATGCATCTCATTTGGGGTTCACAACAGGTCTGCTGGGGATGTGCTATTATCAGTCCCACTTTACAGTGAGGAAACTGAGGCACAGACAGAGTAATTTGTCCAAGGTCCAGGGTCGTAGTAGGTGGAGTGGAGGAGGATCTGAACTCAAACAGGGTAATTCTAGAGCTGCTGCTCTTAACGCTTACTTAACAAGCAAAGGAGACCAGAAGGGAAGGCCCGGCAGTGCGCAGGGAGTGTCCAGGGAACAGTGAGGGGTTGTGATGTTGGAGCACAAGACCTGGAGGGCTGAGGTGTGGGGTGTGTGTGAGGAGGAACAAGGGTTTAGGTGGAGTGTTGTTTGATCTCAACGGCAGCTGTGGAATCTATATGTCAAACTCTGGGCTTTACATAGAATATTTCATCTGACTTAACCACATCCCTATTGGACAGGCACTATTATCCCCATTTTACAGATAAGAGAACTGAGGTACAGAGAAGTTAAGTAACTTACTCAAGGTCATACGACTGGCTGATCGTGGGGCTGGGATATGAAATCAAGGGTCGGACTCCCGAACTCACTGTGCCAGCCAGTGTTCTCACTTGGCGGTAACCCTTTGCATGCTGCCCAGTGCCTCTACTTTTCCCCCAGTCTACACATCCTGTCCCTTCCCACCCACCTTTACTCCTGACCCCACCCCGCACATTCAGCTACAGTCGCCCAGCCCACGAGCACCGAATCGGGACCACCTTGGGCCCAGAACAACCCCCTGTTCCCAGAAAGCTTTGCGTTTCCCCCGAATAAAGAGCTTTTGAGCCGGGGAGCCCCGCCCCCTGCGGGCTCCTCCCACGGCCGCGAGCCCGGGACGGCTGTGGGCGTGTCCCCGGCGGCGGCGCCCGCGGCTCGGGGCGGGGCCTAGCTGGGGGGCGGGGCCTGGTCAGGCGCTGGGCTGCGGGGTGGCCAGGCGGGCTGACTCTCCTTGCAGGTGGCTCCTCTTCCGCCTCTCCTGAACCCCGCAGGCGCCGTGCCGGCTGCCGTGGGAGCGCCTTTGTGTCCGGCCCCGAGAGCCCGCGACGGCCGCTGCGCGCCCGGGTCCATTGTTTCGCTTCTCTGTCTCTTCCGGGCAGGTGCCCGCGGCGCGCGGGGCCCGCACGTGCCAAAGCGGCTGCAGGAGGGCAGGGACCCGCGGGCGCAGGCAGGGGCGTCCCGGGCGCGCGGCGCGAGATGAAGTACCTGAAGCCTTGGTGGTCGGACGGCGGCGGCCTCCTGCACCTCACCATCCTGCTGAGCTTGGCGGGGCTCCGCCTGGACGTGGACCTGGACCTCTACCTGCTGCTCCCGCCGCCCACCCTGCTCTGGGATGAGCAGCTGCTCGCTGGCGGCCCGACGAGCTCCGCCTACGCGCTCAGCCCCTTCCTGGCCTCGGGAGGGTGGGGGCGTGCGGACCAGCTGCACCCCAAAGGCCGCGAGCCGGACCCCGAGGCGGAGCCCGAGGGCCGGCTGCTTCGGGAGGTTCGCGCGCTGCGGGCCCCCTTCATTCCCCGCACCCGAGTGGATGCGTGGCTCGTGCACAGCGTAGCGGCCGGGGAAGCCGACGGGGCCCACGGGCTGCTCGGCGCCGCCGCCGCCGCCGCCGCCGCCGCCGCCTCCTCCGCCGGAGGAGTCGGCGCCAGTGTACACGACAGCAGCCAGGCTGCGCCGGGGGATGGCGGGGACCCCCGAGCGGCTGCAAGTAGCCCCTTGGCCGCCGGGGAAGAGGAGAAGGCACCGGCAGAACCGACGGCTCAGGTGCTGGACGCCGGCGGCCGCGCGAACCAGGTGAGGGGAGCGCGGGGACGCGAGCGCTGTGCTGGGGGAGCTGGCCAGGAGCCCTGCAGGCTTGGGACGGACCCAGGGACGGAGCACACCCGCTCTGCTTCCACCCTCGGCCCCTGGTGGTTGCAGTTTCGGGACCACGCTTGCCTCCCCTTCTTGTGAATCTAAACGGAAGCTGTTAGTGCGGTCGCTATGCTTTTAGGTGTTTGGGAAAGAAATAGGAGAGATCATCCGTTCGGTTGTAGAAGATACCTTTACCGTGTTTGATGGCGGTCTGAGTTCGGGGCTGCTGAGGGGAGAAGGGATGCTGGTAGTTTTCTTGCCTGCGGTCTTCGTTCTGTACCTCGTGTGCATGGAGATGTCTTTTTCTGGAACCAGAGGATCCAAAAGAGGCCTTGGCCACAGGGAGGACCCGTTTCTCTTAACCGTGCTCCCCGGTCTAACGTGATGGCCCCTGCCAGATTTTAACCCAGTTGCAGTTCGTTTTTGCTACTTACCCTGGATTAAGGAGCCGTGGCCAGTGTTCAGTTCCAGGCCAGTTGGCAGACGGTCCCGCTGTGACCTAACCAGCCCTGGCGCCTAACGACCCTCCTCCCTCTGGAACATGTGTAACTTTTTTTTTTTGTTTTTTAAGATTTTATTTATTTGAGAGAGAGAGAGAGAAAGCAGGAGCGGGAAGGAGGGGGAGAGGGAGAGAGACAAGCAGAGGCCCCGCTGAGCAGGGAGCCCCACCCAGCCGGATCCCAGGACCCCAAGACCATGACCTGAGCCGAAGTCAGGCATTTAACCGACTGTGTTAACTCCAGGCGCCCCATGTGTAACTTCTTACGAGCATAAAGAAAGCAGGTACCCTGACAGTCACCTAGTGACTTAACAAGTGCCCTCTGGTTTATGGTTTCAGATCCTTCGGTTTTAACATCCTTTTGAAGCAAAGTTCACTAAGATTGACTGATAGAGTATCTGTGTGGTGCTCCCGCTGGCTCTTGGAGTCTAAAGACACTTATTACCCATTTTTACAAAATTGCCTTACCCAGAGTTCCTTCAAAGGGACCTTTTTAATATCTCTTGGCCCAAACCGTAGTATTAGCAGTCGGTATCGATCAACAGGTGTTCCTTGGATGTTTTTGTGGGGTGCAATCTTATGCAAAATGGGAACTGGGGCTAGACAGGTTTGTTTGCTGCTCTTCAGAATTGCCCTGTTTGTGTAGGCAGTTGCCAGAGGAGCTTCTCCACCCTCTCCCAGAGGGGTCATTGTGCCAAAGTGCCTGTGATTCACTGTTATGCAGATCGGATCCCTTCCTCTTCCTGAGGCCGGAACTAATGGGGTGGGGGTCACCGAGAGTCTCGGTGGGCTTCTGTCCAAAACAAAAAGTGGAAGGTTCTTCTCCCTCACTCAGCCAGTCCTGACCTTCACCTGAGTCCTCTGCTTCCTAAGGAGTGGTGCGTGCTGCGCTACAACCTTTTCAGATCCTGGAACCGGCGGGGGTGGGGTGGGGTGGGGTGTGTGTGTGTGTGTGTGGGTAACCCAATGCACCGTGCTATGGCAGACGGCACCCTCCCCTCCTCCGCTGGATGCCACCCACCTTGCAAAGCATACTGGGCCTGGAGGAGGTGTAGCTGTTCGCTCTGGGAGCACGTCCTTCCCCTTCTTGGCATTACCTATTTGGACTGGCAAACCTGCTTTGGCGGAAGCTCTGGGGGCCAAGGACCGGCCACACCTCCCATGGAGGGTTGAGCCCCACTTTCCTAGGGGGGAGGATGAAGTTCATACGGGGCCAATCTTGTGGTGTAGCCTTCCCCCCCTGGCATGTGTGGGCCTGCTGGACCCTGGGTGGGCCTGGGGAGGGTGGGGGCGCGCGGACCGCGCGTCTGTCATAGCACGGTGCATTGGGTCTCTCTCACACACACACACACACACACACACACACACACACACACACACACACTACCCATGGGGTGCCCTGGGTAGTTTCATTCCGGCGATGATCCGCTGTGGAACACCTTACAGTATTCACAGCCAGTTCACCTTTGTTCGTAACACCTTTTATTTATTTATTTTTTTCAAAGATTTTTATTTATTTATGAGAGAGAGAGAAACAGCATGAGAGGGGAGAGGGTCAGAGGGAGAAGCAGGCTCCCCACTGAGCTGGGAGCCTGATGTGGGACTCGATCCCAGGACCCCGGGATCATGACCTGAGCCGAAGGCAGTCGCTTAACCAACCGAGCCACCCAGGCACCCGGTAACACCTTTTAAAAAACAGAAACAAAAAAGCATAAGGAGCTTCTATCTGGTTGTAAGTTTGTATGTATTTGGTAATACCTTTTTTTTTTTTAACATCAACTTGAGAGGTAGGCAGGTGGGGCATCCTTCTATCCAATTTGTACTAAAGGAAAATAGAGGCCCAGCGAGGTTAGGGCACTTGGCTAAAGCCACACAGTTAATTGGTGCCAGAAGTGCACCCAGACAGAACCTGAGCTTCCTGACTCCCGTGTTAGCACACTGAGCGTGCGGCTGCCGTGGGGTGGTGCCCCCACCCCCCACTCCTGACCTCAGCACCACTGCTCTCCAATGTTGCATTGACTTTTAAAAGCAGACTGTACCATCCGTAATACCGAGCTTACAATCTGGAACGTTGACTCGGGGGGGGGGGAAACGGCACCGGGGTTTGCAGTCCGCAGACCTGGGTTTAGGGCCATCACTTACTAATGTCAGGTGGGAGCGTGCTGCTTATTCTACGGTTTGTGCAAATTAAATGGGAAAAGCCTGCGTGAAGTGCCAGCCCAGTGCCTGGGTTGTAATTGCTGTTCCTTCGCCTCTGTTCTCAAGCCACCCTTCTTGACCTGCCTCCACTCCCTCCATTCGCTTTTGTCTTGTTTATGAGTCTGCCCCGGTTGTTTGCTTGCTAAGGGGGTGTGGTGTGTTGTGGCCAGACCGCCTGGTTTTGAATCCCAGCTCTGCTGCTTACAGCTCTGTGACCTTGGGCTAGTTTCTTCACCTGTCTCTGCTTCAGTTTCCTCACCTGCACAATGGGAATCGTCAAGGTGCCCCCCACATAGGGTTGAGAATTCATTCATTCCACGTCAGAGGCTTAGAAATGTGCCGGTCACGTCTCGAAGCACTTAATAAAAGTTAGCTGCTGTTAACTTCGAAAAGAGGGAGTGCTTTGTCCTACAGGAACATCAGAGGTTTGTGGTGTTTGTTTTTAAATAGATAATTCCGGTGGCTTATATTTGAGTTGTAGGAGATTCTGGTTGTAGAGGATAATTTTCCATAATTTTTGTACATTTGCAAAAATGTCTTGGAGTGGGGGATTTTCCAGGTATCAAAAGAGGTACTGCTTTGGTTTCACTTCTTAGTGGGGCCAATCATTATCTGAAAACAGAATCCGGAATTCCCCAGGGCAGACCTGCTTCCCTTGAAAACCAGAGCCATTCACTCACAACCGAAGGCGCGTGTGTTTTCAGAGTAAGGCATGGGTTAAACGAGGACTTGAACAGTTTTTCCAGATTTGACTGTGTGAGCATATTTGAAGGCGGGTGACTACCTATAGCCAGCACCAGTATTTTAGAGCACTGTATCCACTTTGAAGCTGAGAGGCTTGTAGTCATCTTGATAATGGTTTCAAGCCCCAGAACCAGGACCCGGCGATGGGTGAGGGGTCCTGCGGGACCTCGTGGGATGGACCAGGTTTCTTCAGGTCACAGCAAGAATCTGATACAATCAGGACTCGCTTCTAAGAGTAAAGGAAGAGGAAGAAGCTCCTTGATTGTTAAAGTAAAATTTGTTTTTCATTTCAAAAGCAAAGTTAATCCCTGGTGCCTGGGCAATTGGAGGTAGATGAAATTTCAAACACTTGCTTGTTTTTAACTTACAACTGTGGTACAGAGATAGTCTTAGACATTCGTACAACTCAGTAGAATGAAGTTTCAGAGGAGGCTCTTTGCTTACTTAAGGACTCGATAAAAATTCACCTGAGGTCTTATGGGGAAAGATGGCATGCATCACTTACTAGTGTCCTAGGGCAGCTGTAATAAAATGCCACCAACTGGGTGGCTTGAACAGCAGAAATTTGCTGTCTCCCAGTTCTGGAGGTGAAAAGTTGGGAATCAAGGCTTGGTTCCTTCTGAGGCTGAGAGGGAGGCTGTTCCAGGCCTCTCTCCTAACTTCTGGTAGTTTGCTGGCAATCTTTGGTGACCCTTGGTCCTTCCCTCACTCCCTCCCATTTTAGTTTTAAGGAATCTCCACACCCAACCTGGGGCTTGAACTCACAGCCCCAAGATCAAGAGGTGACCCTTAGTTTCCACTGAGTCACCCCAGTCTCTGCCTTTATCTTCACAAGACATTCTCCCTGTGTGCTCATTTGTATCCAAATTTCCCCTTTTATAAGGACACCAGTCATACTGGATTAGGGCTCACCTTGCTCATCTTAATTACATCTGCAGTGACCCAGTTTCCAAATAAAATCACATTCTTAGGTACTGAGGGTTATGGCTTCAACATGTGGATTTCGAGGGACTCATGCCCTCTTTAGCTTGCTTAGCAAGTAGGCTGCAACAATTTCTGGAAGCAACTGGTCTAAGTGTAGGATCATTTGCTGCAGGATTTGGTGTATGTTTGTGAGCAAACCTGGGTTGGTTGGTTGGTTGGTTGGTTTTTTGCTGACTTCATGTGCAGCTAACCCCAAGGAACCTTACTTCCAACTTTTTCCAGTCAGTCCTTCACCTCAATTTGTGGTTTACAGAAATCTCCCCTCTGCACTGTCCTTTGTATCATTTGGCTGCTCTCCATTTTCCCCTGCTTCTCCGCTCAAAAGTCAGAGTGCAGGGCCCAGGCCCCAACTCCAGGGCAGGCCGGGCTAGTGGTCAAGTGTGCTTGGCGCTGGGGTCAGACCAGCTGGGGTAGCTGCAGATCTCCACTCCACTGCTGACTGGTCGTATGATCTGGGGCACACTTCTTAACCTGTCTGTGCCGTGGTTCCCTTATCTGTAAAATGGGATGGTAAGAGTACCTTAACGGAGTCGTCGTGAGGATTAAAGGCGATCATACAGGTTAGCAGGTTGGTACGTAGTAAGCCCTCAGTAATGTCAGCGACTGCTGTTAATTCAGCTGGGGCTGTAATGCCCCTTCCCTGATTTATTCCTGTTCATTCTCTTGCCAGGCACAGGTTTCCAAAGCTCACGTTCGTCTCTTCACTTTCATCTGGGGAGCCTCCACCAGCTCATTACCTACCTACCAATTGGACATTTTGTCATTCGAGGCTCCGCATTTGGCTAGTGTGACCTAACTCCCCAACTGCCCTCGCTGAGCTCATCCCCCCCTACCCGTGGCCTACTTTCCACCTCAGACTTTCTCCCTTCCTTTTCCCCACACAGGCCCATGCTTTCCCGCGCCTAACTCTCTGTTACCTGTGCTCAGAATGGCATCCTTTCTTTCCTTCCAAGTCTTTTACTGTTAAATTCTCAGACTCATCTCAACTATCATCACCTCATCTACAAGCATTAACCGTTCTTTCCTTTGAGTCCTGTCAAGCCCTGTCACACTATGTACTATTTCATCTATGGGCCTTGGCAAGCTCTACGTGGAACCGCAGTGTCTTGAGCATGGAAACTGGGTCTTCATTTTAACCTGGAGGGTAGCAGCAGAGACAGGGTTAAGAGCAGACGCCCACCCAGCTAGCCTCTGCTGAGCACTCCTCATCTGTTCCCCCCGTCGGCCTTGCAGAACTTCCAGGATTCCGTGAGCTTG